ATTACTGACCTCTGTCATCATTTTAAGTGGGGGAACTTGCACAATCGGTGGCTGACTAAATACTTTTTTGCCCCACTGTAGATTTGCCAACATCTTCTTCCCTCGGCGGCTTGCTTTAGGGGTTGCCACACTGGATCATCTGCTTTTAGCATGCAACTCCTTTACACAGGGCTCGAAGCAAAGAATAAAACAAAGCAAAGCTAAAAACAAACAAACAAAAACAAAACAAAAAAAACCCTTTCCACCTTAGATATGTAACTACATCAAAGCAAAACAACCAAGAGTTTCGGTATTATTATTGCTCTTTTCAGTTTTGATTTAGATATTTTTCTAATACTCTAGTTTTAAACATGTTTTTAAACAAGGAAAATGAACTACACCTTTTTAAATCACTGTCATAACTATTCCACAAGTTAACTCCTCTAACAGAAACACATCTCTGCTTTATGTTTGTCCTTATCTTGTTTTTTTTAAAAGAAACCTGTTCCCCTTAAGTCACATTGACTCTCTCTGACTTTAAACAGCTTCTGAGTATTGCGCCAAAGCAAGTTATTTTGTGCTTTATACATTATCTGTGCCATTTTATATTCAACTAAATCATAAAATTTCAGGGTATTCAAATTAATAAAAAGGACCAATAAAAAGATAAATGGACACAAACCATTGCCTTTGCCTGCATCATATGTAGAAATAATGTGTAATTTGTACTTGTGCACTGAATCTATACAGAGACTATGGTGTAGCTTATGAAAGCGGCCAGCAGAGTTCTCTATTCAAGTTCATCCATTCCCTTGCAGTCAATTTAGAAAATGGCAGCAGTAAAAGAAGTAGCTGGAAATGCCAGTACTGATCGAGCCAATCACTGTCATTGTAGACTGCATCCACTCAGTGTTTAATTTAATTTCAATGGAGGTGCAGGCTCAGTTACTGAATTACGGCATTGGGTTTCAGGGAGGTTTGAAGTTATGCTGTACATTACCTGTGGTGCAGATTTAACACAGAAGCATGAATCTCACTTAAAATCAGACAAATGTGGTATTTGTGTGATATGATTTTTGCACTTTTATCAGGCACTATACATTTATCTTCTGCTGGTACCAAAGTACTTTTCATGGTTACATTTTTTAAGATATTGTCAAAATAGTCCTCATATTAGAGTTTTGTTTTCTAAAAATCAAGAGAATGTAATTGAGGTATTTCAGAATACAGGGTGAGAGATATTTGTAATAAAGCACTAAAATGTACATAGCAATGGCCTTATAAAGGCAAAAAAGTTACTGGATTCATCTTGAGGCTATAGAGAAGGCATTTGACTCTGTACTTTGCTTCTGTGCTGTTGTCTATCCCTGGGAACTATTTTTTATCTGATTCACAGTCTCCCAGGTGAAGCCTGAGTACCCCTTCAGTGTGCAGCTGCAACAAGCGTTCAAACTCAGCCGGCATTGAGTGAAAAAACGTTTTAGTCGGTACGTCATCATAGTAGTGGTTAGTCAGGGTATAGAGGCCATATGGGTGATTACTAAAGGGCCAGAATCCATACACATGCACATTTTTACACAATTCCAGGGCCATGCTAACCATAATGAATCCAGTGCTGAGCCGCCTTTCATTCAGGCCTTTAGAGCTCCAGAATTGATCCAGACTGTCAAGGTACTGAGCGTTGGAGAAAACAGGTCGAATAGGGCTTTTAAAGTCCTCTATTGTATATGCAGCCCGCTGACACACAGCAGTATTCTTGCTAAAGGAGAAGGCAGGAAGGAGCAGCAGAGAGTTGCCGTACTTGTGCAGATACTCCACAAATGGAAGGCGACGTCCAGTCAGCGCACCATACCTGTGCAAAAGAAACAGCTGACTTTGAGCAACAACACATACATAATGTGAGGTGACAAGTAGGGATAGGAATCGAGAGCTGGTTCTCTAAAAGAACTAGTTCCCAGTGTTTGCCTATCAGTCACATTTGTTGTACTTGTCATCAGCTGTTTTAAGTTCATGTGCCAGAGGAGAAAAAATAGCGGTGTGGCCTACAGTGTAGATTTGGACATTTAATTATTTTTTATTTAATTGTTTTTGTTTTTATTGGGAAATACCTCAAACATATACAAAAATTTTAACAACAGCATGCAATTAAGTTGCAGAATGTAATGTCTTTGACATGCTGCTTAGCGGTGATGGTGACTCAGTGCAAAAACAATGAGAACCCAATGAGCCTCAATAAGAGAGTTGATAAGAAATCAAATTGGAAAGTGATTCTGATAATAGAATCAGAATCGTTAAATTCCTATCAGTTCCCTTCACTAGTGACAAGGATTTATTTTTTTTGCTCACTTATTGAAAATGATGCTTGGATTTGCTGTCACAAGGCTAGTTTTGCTGCCAACATCTTTCTCATATCCATTTTCCAAAGGAGGTAAGTTGCACCTGAACAAACAAAAAAGTAGACACAGGAATGGTTACGTGGAATTTCCACTCTGGATTTGGTCTACATTGGACACTTTTCTCACCTGATAACAAAGTCAGCAGAATCAATCATTTTTCCACAGCCACTGTCAAACAGGATCCCACCATTCCCAACAACCGAACAAGTGTCCCATTGTTTATTTGAGAAAGGATTCTCCTGGGATAGACAGCGAAAGATAAGGCATTATGAAAACACATTTACATTGTTGCTGATTTCACATGTTGAAGGAAAAAGGATTTTAAAAAGACATTTTATTCTAGTTTTATAGTCTGATGCTTTTTATGCTTGTTATTGCTAATGATAGGTCTGTCGTTTTTATAGATTACAACCATGGGAATATTATATCCAAAAGAACAATGATCACAAAAGTGTATATAAATATAGTCATAATTATTAGAAATGATTAAAAAAATGACAAATAACTTCGTTTATTGTGTGTTTTTTTTCTCTTTTGGAAAAAGAATTACACACAAAAGTAAATAGAGCTGAAACAGACTATATAAATACAGCGTCTTATAAATGCAATAGCTCCTCTAATGGAGAGTGTATTAATTGGGATATTAGACATCTCCAAAAAAAGATCATATTTAAGCTGTTTGGCCTTTTTAGCAGAGATGCAAAACGCTCCAGACTTTTAATAACAATTTTGCTTAAATATGTTAACGGTACAGATTTTCAGTCAGTTTATCTCTTGTATGGCTCTGCAGACCGGTCAAGTTTGAGGCTTGAGGCAGACCAGACTACAAAACATGTATAATTATATGTGTATAATCACAAATGATGAATTATATTTGAGTTTCTTTCTGTGCAGCTATAAATTGATACAGAAAATGGTTCATCATAATAATCGGGGGTGGCTGTAGCTCAGGAGGTAGAGCAGGTCACCTACTGATCGGAAGGTTGGAGGTTCGATCCCAGGCTCCTCCAGTC